CCCCCGGCCTGAATACTGACTCTGAGCTCCCGTGCGGTCTCTAGGTCCTAATCTCCAGGTGCTCAATCTCCAGCCTGAAAGGGTGCATATTTCATTATCAACTCCCTCCACCACCTCCTAGCCACCCAACACGTTTTGCTTTTTTTCTGAACTTGAAAAAAAAAAAAAATCTCTTTGTTAAAATACTACTTTAACTGGGGACCTGGAAAGAGAGGCGTTCCGTACTCATTCCACCTTTGTCCCTCCCAGCCCCTGCCCCCCTACCAGTCCCTCCTGACGTTTGTATCCTTCTGCCCCACACACATGCACACGCACGAGCGCGCGCGCACGAACCTGGGTAGCGAATGCCTTTTGGGTGAGGACTTTGATGCCCCTCCCACGTGCACACCCATTACTTTGGATTTGATATGATTGATTGTGATAGCTGGCAAAACAGATTAAAGTGAGAGATTTTTTTTTTCCTCCTAGAAAGGGAAAGATTACTTCAGGCACGTACGGCGGAGGAGGGGGGAGGTCAGTGGGGTAATGGGGGGGGCTCTGGGAGGGGTAGGGAAGAAGGGTTTGATGTTCCTATGCTGGATATTCGTCCCTGAATCTAATTACTCCCCCCCCCATTCAGATTTTTAACCTAGGACGAAAGGTGGATATATATATAGGGTCGGGAGGCAAGAGGGGATGTGAAGTTTAGAACTCATAACTCTCCGTTAGTTCTAATCCCCTCCGCCCCCATCTCTTAAACCTGACCACAAGTGGGTGTGGTGTAAAATAGAAGAGGGGCCCTGAAAACGCTGAATGCCAAATGAAGGGGGCGGGGACTGGAAAGGCCACACCCCGTTGCCTCCCCTCCGCCTCCAAGTAGCCCCGCCCCGGGTTGCCCTGCCCCCAAATTCTCAGCGCCAGGAGTCTAGGGTTTAAAAGGTTGAGCTACTTGTTTAATGAGAACAGTTCTGCCTCCTTTAGCCCTGAGTTTCTTTTTGGAAAGAATTACCTAATCTTAAGTTTTTAAAAAATGTTTTAATAAAGTATACACAAAAATCTGCATTCTGAGACGTCAAACTGGTTATTGATTCTCACCGGAAAGGCTTAAGGCTTGGCTAAATAATGTTTATTCAGCGTAGTTACTCCTGGGACGATGCCCGTCTCCTCTCCTATCCCCTTCCACTATGAGCACCCCAACATGAGTTTTCTTAAACTGCGCACTACAGACATTGTCATATAAGAAAGAAGCGCATCGGTGCTTGAGAAGAGGCAGGAGAGTTTTCCTAGGCTCGACCCAGATCTTTCAAAACCCCGCAGGTTTTGCGTTACAGGTGGCCGCCCCTCCGGCTTTGCAAGAGGTGGTCTCGCTCGGCACTGCTGTCTGCAAAAAAAGACGGAGGGCAACGTGCGTCCTCTGGAGGCCCCCGAGGCCAGTTTGTGGAGTTATTTTTATTAAGAACAGCGGTCCCGCCGACCTTCATCGTGGGAGATGTAGATCTGAAAAAAGTT